TGAAGAAGAATCAAAGTTGGCTGTAGCCGCCACGCACATTATTCGAGATGTCCTACATACTTCACTTCTCAACTTTGATCAATCCTTAGCTGAAATTTCCGGATTCTTCAAAACGAAATTAGTATCCTCGCTCACAACAGTGATGCTAGCATTACAAGGTTGCACTATTACAAGTGTAGAAATAAAGTTCCAGCCATTGTCGTTGCCTGTCAGTTTTACATGAAAAGCATCCCTGACTACCAAACTGAGCTTTTATGTATTCCCAATGACTGTGATAAAAATTATGTACAACAATGGCTTATCGAAAAAAAGGCAAAGATTGGAAATGTAAATCTTTCGTTTTTAGAAATGGGAAGGAATTTATTCAATTCAAATGCTCAATTTTTAAAATTATTAGAAAACGTATAAGACTTGACTCTTGGTCATTTGAATTAGTTTTAATGTAATAGTTATTAGATAATGCAACTATGTTAATTAAATTCTTTATTCTTTTGCGAATTTTTATATATTAAATGATTAATAAAAAAAGTATTATGATTGCTTAAATCCATTGTTGTTATGAACCCAAAATTTCAAGGAATTTATTCCTTCAATAAGTTATGAAAGCTTTTTGTTTGTATGATTAATGTCTTATTAAATTAACTTGAGCATGAAAATATAAAAAGAATAATAAAAATAAAATGGCTCCTGAAGCTCAATAGTCTAAAAATTGACTTCAACCAATACAAATTCCCTTTCACTGCAACTTTACAATTTAGCATTATCAAATATGGATTTTCATACAATCATTCCATCATTTCCACAGTAAAAAATGTGATGATAAATTTGGAAATGAAAAATAACTATTCTTAGACTTTTGATTTTATTGAATTAAATTGATAATCAGTTTTATTTTTTGTCAATTTTGATGTTCTACTTTGTTTTTTTTTAGAGAATCATGAAGGATTAGTACTAAATAAATGGTGCCTTGACTAAATAGCATTAACACATGATTATCAACATGCAAAAATTTGGTTACTTAATTGATGAAAATATGTTTTGTTTGGTCTCTCATTCACTGATCGATTAAAGATCGAATAACTTAATAGATCACTCACGTGCGATCGATTTCTTTAATCAATCAATCATTGGTTGATTGATTATTAATATAAGCATCAAAAATAACAATAAGAAGTAAGTTTTTTTTATAAATATCGTAATCAAATAAACAATTATAATATTTACTATTTAGATCCATTTCAGGTAAAGCTAATAGGGTTCTAATATTATTGCTGATTGACATCAATATTATTACCCTTAGTTGGCCGGGTTGAAATAATTTTAGTTTGACGTAAAAATTTCATGTTTTTCACGTTAAAATTAACTGCAAGCGTTGATCATCTAATAATAAAATTTAAAATATTATAAATAAAGACTCCAATCTGAAAAATAACTTTCAATGTAAAATAAAAAAATTTTTTTTTCTACAAAATATAACGATGCTATATGTGATCGTTACCAGTAAAATCAAGTTATGAAATATAGTAAATCATAAGATCTGTAATGTTATTTTACTGGCAACGCTCTCATATCCAAATATCTGTGATCGAAAAATTGATTGACACATTCAATAATTCTGCTCGATTCGATCAAGAGCCCTAATTCAAAATAATATAGATTTATTAGGAAAGAATTTTATCAAGTTCATTGAAATTTTTAAAGAAGATCCACAAAGTAATATTTACATATATCAATAATATGTAACAATACACAACAAAAAACATTGAAATTCTTTAATTTAAATAATTTGTATATACTGAAATTAAAACATTTAAGATACTATAATGATATGTCTTTAATTACCTTTTTTCGAAACCAATGATTATTTATAGCAAAGTTGTTTTGAACATCTTCATTCATTTAACGTGAAATCAAACATTATTAAATTGCTTCATAAAATTTTCTTAAATTTGTTTATATGACTAATGTTTTATTTCCCATAGCACTGATCCTTACGATTTAGGCAATTAAATTTTATAAAAGTATATCATTTTAAAATTTTACTCCTCTCTCTCTCTCTTAAATAAAATAATTCAAGAAAGTTTAATATTCCTGGTGTGAGAGAGAGAATGCCATTTGGATTACATATATAATATTTCTCGTACAAATATGTATATTTTTGGACTGATTTTGTATATATTTAATTATTTTATTTGTTACATTATTAAGAATGAGTTTTTTTCATGAGAATAAATACAATGTTTAAAGAAAATCATAATAACCAAAAATTTCATTCTTAATCCCATACCCTTATATTTCAAGTGGCTTAGCGAATATTGAATTTTATAAAACCTGGAATGGCGAATCTTTAATTAATTTAAGTGGAATGTATTCGGAAGATATTATTATGCAGGTATTTGGACATCATATTTGATTTTTCTTTATTGCTTTGTAATTGCAACAAAGACGAACGAAAGGTTTGATCATAATTCGCCTGTTTCGACTTTTATTTGAAATTCGCCATTGTTTGAGGTCCCAAAAATTGTTGCAAAATATTTGTAATGGCTTTGTTCATAGTTTTAATCAAGTGCAAAATAATGTGACTTATATTATATTTCATTTGCGTGTCTTATACTTGATATTAAATTTATACTTTCCTCTCAAGTATTTGAATCATTTGGAGTTCATTTTGCTATTATTAATGGTGTAGCGCGTTCAATATTTTCATTCCTTATCATTCTTTTTCTTTTTATCATCAGAACCCAAACAATCATTTCTATAACCCTTGGAACTTTGCAGAAAAATTTCTGATGGACCAGATGGAAAATTTATACTTTATATAAAGAACCTGATGAGCTTACAAATTTATTTCGGTTCCCATTTCGCCATGTAACTATTTTTAACGGGTATAATTATCAAATACTTTGATTATTTATCGTTCATTAGTTAATATTTGTTTATTTTGCTTTCTTTGCAGTAAATAATCCACTAGGTGCGTGCATAACCTTTTGTAGAAAAATATTGTTTTGACTATATTGATGGTTTTATTTTCATTAATAGTTGTAATATTCCTTTATGAATTTTTATTCGACTATTAAATAAGGCGATTGATGCTGAAAAGTAATTAATTATTTTTCCTCTTTTCTTTTTGTTTTCTTTCAAAAATTAATTTACATGTGATTTCATATTTTTTTAGTTTCTATCATGAAAACGCGTCAAATTGTAAAGAAATTAATTGTTGACAAAACATGGAATCCGAATAATTTCACTGAAATGAAGAAACCCTTTTAAATTGTCTTGGAATTTTATAAATAATTTATTATATAAAATTAATAAAATCTTTTTAATTAAATTACTTAAATGAATTGATCGAGAATTTAAATAAGCAATGAATAATTTTATTTGAAATGTTGCATTTATTAAAAATTTTCAATTTATAGAAAATAAAATTGACCAAGTATAATAATAACCTTTGAAACCGAGGTTAAAGAGAAACTTATCAAGGAAAGCGGAAATAAAATTGTATATCACCAATTAAGGAGCGCAACAAACTGTGCAAGTCACAGAATTTTATGTCACGGTAATTGCTCTAATTAGCACGAAATAAAAAACTTTCTAAATGCAACTTTAATTATAATCAGGTGATTCATAAAAATTCCACATTAAAGCTTGTTCGATAGTATATATTATTGATTAATATCGTTGAATAGTGTAAAATTAACAATTTTAAATTCTTTATTATTTAAGAATTTCGGCTAAATTTAAAACTATAGATTAAAATATATAATTTCGCACATGCGTTGTGTTTTAGTTATTGAGGTGTGGAGTTTTTAATGCTTTAGGTTCGATAGTCTTTAAGGAATTGGGTAAATTTGGTAAGCTATTTATTTGAGTTTTATAAAACTTGAGTTTCGTTAAGGAATTTGGTAAAGTTGGTAGGAAAGTTATTGGAGTATTACTACATTCGAGTTCCGTTAAGGAGTCGGGTAAAGTTGGTAAGCTATTTATTAGAGTATTACTACAACTGAGTATTGTTAAGGAGTTTGGTAAAGTTGGTAAGCTCTTTATAGGAGTTTTATAGCAATAGAGTTTCGTTAATGAGTTAGGTAAAGTTGGTAAACTGGTTATTCGAATATTATTGCAAAATAGGGAGGTTAATTTTCGATATCTTTGTAATCCTCCTAAGGTGACGTTTAATATGCCATCCTTATAATATCTGTAATGGTTAAACTAGTAATAATATCATCATAAATAATAGCTAAACTATCTACTTGCATCTGTTCTAATGAATCAACATCATAATGAAGTTGTTGTTGTTTGGATATTTGAAGATTTAGTTCATGATTATTCAATTGACAATTTTCTTTCATGCACGTGCTTGAAACCATTCCATTTAATTTATCAACCACTTGATTCATTTCTGGTCGATTGTCTGGTTCATTATCCCAACAATCTAAAAAATACATTAGTTTTAAAAATTAATATTTTATTTTATCTTTTTAATTAAAATTGAATAGTATATTTACCATTATAAATGTTTACATAATCTTTAGGTGTATCAGGAAAAGATTTTTCCCTAAGGCCTTGTGTAATATTCACAGCTAAGCAAGCACTCTGTTCTTCAGCATAAAAAGGAGGATAACCACTTGATATTTCCCATAACAGCACTCCAATACTATAAACATCACTCTTTTTATTTAGTTTATATGTTATCTTATTAAACTTTTTTGGATCAATGTAAGGAACGATACCAAAAAATTTTGTTTGTTGTTTAAATGATACTTCCTCAATTCTTTTCGATAATCCAAAGTCAGTCAATTTAATACTATTTTGATGAACCAATATGTTGTTGGAATGCTATTTTATATTTATGTAAATAATAAGTTATTATATAGTTTTTTTTAATAGATATATTGTATCTTACCAAATCACGATGTATAATTCCTTCATCATGTAAACACGATACGTCATAAGCCAATTGAAATGCCAATTGGTGTTTATCATCCCAATTAAGTTTATCAAAATTTTCCTTCAAATAGTTTCGAAGAGTACCGCCATCTGCATATTCCATAACTAACAAATACTTTCTCAATTGATCATCTTCATCTATTTTTAAAAAACATAATTAATTATTAATTTAACCTTACAGGAGAAAGGTATTTATTAAAAATTTTATTGTACCTTTATTTGATGATGTAATCCCATAGAAACGAATAATAT